AGTTTCGAATGAGAGTGTATAAAATTGAGTTACAGTTAAATCACCTTGTCGCAGGTCGTGAAGAGTGGATTCAATCTCAAAGATGGCTGAAGTATTGTCCTTACTATAGTAGAATTCCCGAGAAGCTTCCCAAATTTCGTGCGTGGTTTCATAGAGTAAAAAGTTCTCCCCAATTTCGGGCGTTATAGAATTCACTAACTACGACATAACCATGCTATTTTCGATTTTTCATGTTCGGGCATTCGGATCATTGGCTGGTGGTGGTACGATTTCGCTGCTGAGGTATTCATCTCGGCCTTTTCTTTGGATAAACAACACTGATGACGACCACTGTAGATAGTTGTTGTCGTTTACTTTGTGTCTTGTAATGAATGACGAAGACTGTTCAACCAGTCCATGGTTGATGGGTGCAGGAAGATAAGAACCCGAGGTTTTGAAGTGGAGAAGACAGTAGCTCACCCATGGCAATTTGTAACTTTAGCTCAGTCAGGATGACACCTTTGGATCAGAGTTGTTCTGATACCATGAAGATTTTGAGAATGGAAAATTTCTCTTCTTGTCTTATTCTTCTCATCATGAGATGCTTATTTATAAGTAGGAAATACAACTAATTCCTAACAACTTTATGGGAGTATGGGATAATAATATTTGGTTAAGAGCAACCTCTTAACCACTCGGTGGTTTTCCTGCAACAAGCAAACATAAATGAAACAATCTCCTTTTATGACTTTCTACAGCTCAAATATGTGTGAGAAGCACTATGGGATATGCAATTGAGATGGGCATACAACGAGCACAGCAAGAAAAGGAGTCAAAGAAGCTACAGAAAACTAAGGGATGTACACTTATTACTATCGAGCATTTGGTAACCATGCCTATCAAAAAAAAATTCTAAATGACATATAAACCTCTGTCTATATCTTTGGATGTGACGAAAAACTTACAACAAAAGGAAAAACTATAACTACATATCTGACACAGTTGACAGATTTGAATGGAAACCAGCCATTGCAAATATGCCTATAAAAAATGTGACAAAAATGTTAAAAGTTTCAACAAATATGCCCTTGAAAAGGCAAAAACATTACCTGCATATATCTAACGACGGTACTTGTATAATCTACTGCCCTCCTTTGTGTAAGTTTTCTCATTCTTTTTGCCGCAAAATTATCGCCATGAGCTGTAACACCAATTTATGGCAAGAAATGATAAACATCGGAAAACGACTTACAAGAAAGGCTAAAAAAGATTCTATTTGAACTACACTTTACGATCCTTCACTCCAAAAAAAACAGAAATTATTTTAACAATTATGGGGCCTATCCTTACCATCCATAGCTCGATAAACAAAACTGCCCAAAAATGCATGGAGCAAAATTAATCTGTGATTATTTTGAAGAAAGGAAAATTAGCTTGTGAGTAGCAAAGAAATGATGAGAAGCATTTGAAACATACTACTTTTTTTCTTATTGTCAAGCAAGAGCTCGTTATAGGGTTTTTGCAGTAAACATTTTGTTAGGCGTATGAAAAAAATTTTCCAGTTTTTGCTATTCTAGTTATCAACAGAGGAAGTCTCATTTCATTATCCTGTCAATAAAGTTAGCACTGTGAAAATGGAAGTTGATGCATTTCAAAAGGCTGCTATATTAACAAAGTTTTAGAGAGAGAAAACTGGAAAGTGATGTTGGTATTGTTTTGTGCCCAGAAAGTGGAATTCCATGTTGAAGTCTACAACCAAGAGATCCCTGGTTGTAGAAAGAAAGTCAGTTGAGTTATTTTTTTGGGAAACGGACTTACGGGCCGAGTATCTGTGAGAATGGAAAAGGCTTCAAGGTCACGATTAACTTTTGGGGAGAAAAGATGAACTGGCTGAGTAGATGCCTAAAGGAATTTTACTAGGAGAAAGGAGAAGGATCAAGCATCATGCTGGAGAGTCGCACATTATGTGGCTTGCATTAGGGCACAAAAATGGTGCCAGGTTTCTGGTGTTAACAGATAAGAGAGGAGAGGAAAGGTGGAGGTCATTCCCGAAGGTGTAGTCACCAGTGGTTGGCAGAGGATGATATCAGCTATGTGTGAATTGACCCATATCCTGGTTGAGCCAAAAGGAAAGGGGAGTGCAAAGTGGGAAGTTATTCCTGTGTGCAAGCTGGGTGGAGCACACATCCAGAGGGTGTAAAAGAGGTCTCTATGTTGTCCTAACTGCAACATGTGGGTGGGTCTGTTCCGCTGGAGAAACATGTGGATGCATTATTCCTATAGTTGGCGAGAACAGGAATTGTGCCTGTGCAGAATCGAGTGGAGGCGCAGGTGGGTCAAGTGAAGTCGACTAGGGAGAGAGCAAGGAGAAGTATCCACCCTAACCAAAACTCCAATTATGAGAGTCATGGTGGCCTGATTCAAAGGAGAGTGCAGGTTTTGCAGGTGGGCAAGGGGAACATTAGAAAGCTTTAAAGGAGAAAAGGAAAGTGGGTTTGGGAACATAAACCTAAGTTCTGGTGGGAAATTAAAAAAAAAAAAAAAAGAAAAAAGGCAGTGAGGGAGAAAGGCAGCCTACTGGGAGATTGCAGATGGAGGAAGGGGAAAGGAAGAGGTAGCTACCGAATTAGAAAGTTAAAAAAGGAGATGCCGGTCCTAGAGAATGCAGCGGGTCCCTTGCATAGGAGATTGAGAGAGGAAGGGGTGCTGATGGGTTGGATTTGGAGCGGGAAATGCCAAAGTGAACCTGAGAATGCAGGTCCTAGATGAATCTCCTTTACATCTGCTGGCAGGAAGAGGAAAAGGTCTTGGGAGTTCTCAGGACGAGGGTCCACAAGGCAGGGACAAATTATTGTAGT